TTTACTATGCACTTACTCGTAGGGGGCTACACAAAAATAATACATGAATACGAAGCTAAAAGGGGGTGTTTCCAAGAACATCCTAAAAGGAGGGTGTTTCATCAGAGATCGGAAGAAAATTTGTAATATATCTAATTTGAATTCTAACTCTTAATGATTACTAACTAAAATTCCTCATTTTGAAAAATAACGCAAATAATATACTGCGTAAGAAGTTTATAAAATTACCTTTATTCCACAAGTATTACGCAAAGACGCCATAAAATGTGCAATCTTTACGAGAGCATTAAAACAAGTTAAACGAGTTCCACTTTTCTGTAAAACAACATCATAAATTTATTTAAAAACAAAGTTCCTTTTAGTAGTTGGTTTGAAGTTGACACTTCCAACAGTCGGTGGCTTTATTTAAATGTGACGTCCCGCATCGGTGATAATATGTATTTATTTATTTGTGATGTCAACCCACGCAGTTCTGCAACCAGGACCTTTCGGGGTGGAGGGTTCTACAGGTGTAATATCCTGCCGACTTTATGTTTTCTTAAAAAGTATTTCAAATATATTTTGCTGAATTAAAACGTAATTTTATTTGTTGATTTATTGTTATTTGTAACGACTTCAGTAGTAATATTTAATGACTTACGTTACTCTAGAAAATGAGTAAACACTACATTTCTGAATGTATCTTTAACTTCTCGATTGGAAAGAGAGACCCCCTCTCCCCAACACATATACACATCTGTACACCACTGTATGAATGTGATGGTATATGTACCTCAATGGATGTATGAAGATCTTTACAGCTGCTAAGCAGTCAACAACCAAGAATTTTAATTAACGCCTATATATTGTCATATTTGTTATGAATTATTACATTTTTTCATATTTTCAAAGCACCTATGGGAAATTACTTCTTTCTTTCTGTAGCTCTGGTCATAGGATTCTGCCATAATATACCATTTCGACACGATTCAATTCAATGAAAATGTATTTTCTTACTCTGTGTCCTATGGTGAAGTATGGCGCGGATGGGAGGGCGAAGGTAAGAAAACGGTAGCTGATACGCCTAGATGTTGACGGGGAAGCACCTGCGATTGATTTTACTACTTGTTAAAGAAGAGTGAGTGTTTCTGGGCACGCCAACGCCTGAGGTAATGTGTCATTTAGTCACTTAAAAGGAGTGCATGTAATATTCCTGGAGAAGGTAGAAATTTTAGAATGTCATAAACGGGGAATGTAGTGCATGTTATAATCCTGGACAAGGCAGACATTTTTGAAATGGCATAAACGGGGAATGTAGTGCATGTGATATTCCTGGAGAATGCAGAAATTTTGGAATTGGCAGAAACGGGGAACGTAGTGCATGTTATATTGCTGGAGAAGGCAGGCAAGCTTTTATTTCACCCATTTGCCTCTTGTGCTTTCTCAGGACTTCTGTGTTCGAGAGGACGTGCTTGTCACGATGCAAAACCAATTGATTTAATGTAATGCACTTAAATTATTTACAAGGGTACGAAGGGGAACTCAAATAAAAGCTCTCATAAACTAACTTACTTAACCTTAATAATGCTTTACTTTAACGCTACAGCCCGATGCAGGAGACCCAAGTGTCCTCTGATAGACTTGCCAGACTACTCAACTACTCGGCAGCAGCGCTACAGAAGCAAATGCTCGCTTTCTTGGTTTTGCTCTAACCTTAAAGCTATGCAGTTGCCAGGAAATGAAGGAGAACGTACGAAGTTCCATTCGGAGAATAAGAGTGAAGTTATTGTTAATAAATAATTTAATCGTCAAAATCGGAAGAGAAACCATTTGATAATAGTTTACTGAACTTCTGATAAGAACAAATTACATGAAAAGGATATTACATGCTATTACATTACTGATAGACATCTCAGCTCTAAGTTCGTATTACACAAATGAATCAATACTTCTCGGCTGTGATAAATGCAGGAGACACACTGATGGATGCCCTTCGTTATTGTATTTTCCCCTCAATTGTGGCATGGTATTCACGGCAGGGGACGATGAAATTAGCGTCCTCAGGACAGGGGCTGGTCCGCCTCGGTGAATGGCGCCAGGGCAGTGGCTGCGAGTTGCAGCCTTGTCCGTGCAAGCCTGATGCCGAAGGAATTCAATGAGCGTCTTCAAAGTTTACTTTGGGCACCGGAATGGCATTCGTCGGAAGACGAAATTCAGTTCATTTCGCGTTGGCGACTACTCCCTCATTTCCCGTGAAGCGACCTGGTGGCTGACTCCAGTACTGACATTCATTGCTTTGCAGTATACTTGCCAAAACCCGCCTAAACTCGTGCGGGATGTAGCGACGAAATTCTGGCTCTCAACTGAGTCGGCAGAGGTCGGTGCGATAGTATTCACTAAAACTTTTGGAAGGACCCCCCTTTCTTTCTCTCAGTTCTTAAAATGTTAATTCTATTTTTTAAATTTTTAATTATTATTAATCTATTTATCATAATTTCTGTTTTTGTCTCATGTTTTTTTTTTATTTTTCTTGAACTAGGAAGCTGATGATGATGGCTAAGTCATCGAAAGCTGCTCTTGTAATAAACAATATTGTTGGTAATGATAACTCATAAAATTATTTCAAGACAATAAGATTTAGAGAAGAATGACGGGGATTGATATAACAACGGGCCACGCCCGCGGGTCTCCATCTCTCTGTCTCCGTCTCTCTGTCTCCGTCTCTCTGTCTCCGTCTCTCTGTCTCCGTCTCTC